TTTGTTTTGATTGTGCCTGAATATAGTTATTTTGGTCTCCACTTTCATGTGGTTATAAACTTATTTATTTACTATCATGTTATTTGTGAAATGTGAAAATGCCTCATCTTCAAAGCAAAACATTATGTGGAAAAAGTCTTTTGAAAGAGACTTAATGTCATTATGGTGTTTAAACTCAAGGATACAACTCGTGCTATAACCAAATCACCAGGTCTGAAACTTTTGTACATTTCAACCTGAAAAATAAAACAGAAAGAGAAACCAAGAAGTAGATTATACATACATACATAATGAACAATGTATTTTTATGTGATTAAATAAGCACAGTGCTTTACTGGTACGCTTCTTTAAGTCAATGTATCTATGCTTTGAGTAGTTCTGTATTTGGTGGCCCTTGTGATACTAGCATTTTTTTTTCATAAAAGCAGTAGAAATATATGAATTCATAAAATTTCTTTGCTGTGGTACTGTATTATTTACCCTGTCCTTTTCTGTAGCTCTGACATCTTCTTTTCTGACAAGCCCTCGGAATGATTCTTTTAATGGCATGTTGTCTACTCCTAATATGGCACATTTACAAAATCTTGGATTTACATTGGTGACCTGCAAATGAAGAGTAAAATAAAAGTCAGACAAGCATGAATTCTCATAAATAATCCACTTATTATCATTTATGAAACAAAAGGATGAGTATACATTTTTTTTATAATTGTGATTGGACACAAAAGACTATTGTTGAGAATAGTATGGTGAACTGCTAAGATTCAAATATTTATTAACATACAAAAAAGTATATGGAATGCTTACCCTACAAGTAACGAGAGATCCCACTGAAGGAACAATGTTGTGTTTCTTCTCTGTCAAAACCTCTATCACTGTCTGAAAACAAAATACAGGATTACATATTGATTATGTAAACATCTTAAGCACTATACTTCAAGCTAAATTTATACATATAAATGAAATACTGGGTATTCAGCACGTACTAACCTTGCCACTCTCTCCATCCCCCTCCCTGACATTGACATATCCAGCAAGACAAGAGTACAGGTACCCTTGTCTTACATCTGTACCAGAACCAGCAACTTGGCCTTCCTCTAAGCGACATATTCTTTGACCTTTATTCAAAATAACAATCACAAAATGTAATATATGACAGTGCATAATATATGGATTTTGTAGAGGTTGGTAACCGTTAGCAGTTTCACAAGTAAGTAACAGTGATCATACTGCCAAATCATTTATCAAGAAATGAAATGAATCTCTATCCCTTTAATCATAACCTTAATCAACAGTCCTCAATCTACAGTAACACTGTTTATATCATATTGTCTCGAATTGTTATATTGACTAATAAGTAATATGTATCATAATCAGGCTCAGCGCCCTCAGTAATTTTAGCTAAATCTAATTTGCTTCCTAAAGAGATGACAAAGGGGCAGATCAACATACTACGTATTTAATAAAGGCTTCATTGTTAATAAGAAAACAACAATTCACAATAAAACTGTTGAGTTCTCTTTTACACGGCTTAAAATTAAAACACAACAAACCAGGTGTGCAGATCGTGGGCGCTGCCATCTTTGTTTTTCTCGGTCAAGATAAACCTCAATCTGAAAATAGGTCAATCATGGCAAGCGGCAATAGCTCGGATTTAGTTGAGGTGATTTCGTTTTTTTAGAGGATATATTCGCTTAGAGGTCGGCTGTCGGGTCCGACTTTGAGATCTTTGTGCAGTGCACCTAGGGACCTGTGCAAGAATTTATTTACAGTGGGAAGGTCGTTGCACAAGTACACGTAATAAAGACAGCTTTTAGACTCTCAGTAAATTTGGACTTTTGAAGTTCTGTTTATGTTTTCTGTATAAATCGACTGCGAATTGACAAAAGAAAGTAAAAGTTATTTATACTGTTTATATGAACAAAAGCCATCAGTTATGCCAGAGAACTTATCTTCAAACGTTTGGAACATACAGGGGATCTTTTTAAAATTCTCGCTTTTATAGAATTTAAACAAGATTATGTGGTAATTTTAATCAGTGTCTTGGCTATTCAATTTTTTTAAAAATTACTAACTTATTTTTAAAACTTTTTTGAGACACCTTCAAGTTCTTTGACCAATAAACTTGCAGCAAATTTTCACCCAAGCAATAACCTCAGCTCTCATAGTATTTGGAAGGCATAAAGTTTCATTTAAACACATCTTAAAATTAGTCAATTAATTCCCCAAATAATTTATTTTAGTAGTGGAGATACTGCTAAAAGTCACCACAAAAAGTTATTTATAACAGATATATAATGTCACAGAGTTATATGGTGGGGGTGGGGGGGGGGATATTGCAAAAGTGCCTAATTTTCATCATGCAGATCAACTGTTTTTCCTGTTACTAGGTTCATCATGGTGGGGACTATAGTTCAGAATTTGAATATGATAGTGAGGCAGAGAAACAAAGGTGAGTGACATCAGTGAATGTTTCATTGATGTTTAAGTATGCCATTTCGACCAGCAAGACCAGACTCCCCAACAACCTCCACCTCTGCAATGTAAATGCAAGAGTACAACAACAAACATACAAGGAGCAGAGTTGAAAGATATCATCAGATCTTGATGATCTACATCATGTAATATAAATGCTTAAGGATACTGTTAGCCTTTACCAAAAACTCCCTATTTACTGCCTTACATATATTCTTTTGGATAACAGATAAATCTTAAGTGTTCAGTGACTAAATTAATTAAGCCTTAGTTCAGACTTTATCATTGATATAGCAACATAATGCCTTTGTTTAATGAAAATCTGTAATTAGGGGCTCATAAGTCCATAACATAAACATTTAAACAGAATTGATGGCATGATATTGTAGACCATATACATGTACACTGGTAGTCAACAATGCCAACTTTCGTGATAAGTTGATAACATCGGATCTTGCTCAAGGATGAAGTTGTACCCCATACCGATTGCTATCTCAAATGGAAAGGTGTTAAATTGATGATTAAACCTTTGAGTTACCTATTGTTATACATTGCAACAAGAAATATAAACACTTGTACTTTATATTTTGAGGGGATTTTTATTCTTTTAAATCAGCACAAAGATTGATGCATTATTGAATAATTATTTTCGGTATCTGGATGTTAATTAATACCGTTAAAGACTTACTTACCAACTGCTAGTTACATAAAAGCATCCCACTATGTCCATACTATCACCAACAAAAACACCCCAACCCCAGCAACACTCAAAGTGCTAGCCAGCAGGCAGCCAATTCTAGCAGAGAGACAGGTTTTACTGTCAATTACATGTAACAGATAAGTACACCCTCTCCCTGTACCATCTGTAGCTGTAACACCTAGGGACTGCAGGTGACCAATTCCAGTAGCAAGACCAGCCCACTGTTTGCTTCTACACCATTTTTTTCTTTTTTGACACATACTCTGCTTTTCTTTTTGAAAAATAGTTTATTTATTCACCAGTCATTTTCAGTAGCAGCCGTATAATCATAAAAGAAATGTAAAAAATGTGTAAAGGGATTATATTAACATAAGTATTACATTTTGTGAAACAAACTTTTTGCAAGTCATGTACCGGTAAGATATCATAGCACTTGCTGGACCTTTTTACAGGTTGTATTTAATCAATTTCACTGTATGTTAACTCTGACAGTTAGAATATGTATTGTGATGTATAACTTATATTTGCTTTAAATGCTTTAAAGCATGCTTTAAATGATTTTTTCGTATTGGAAAAACAATTATCTGATGAAATGTTAAATGTTTACAAGTATTTTTTATATACTTGCAGAAATAAAAGAAAAGACATGGCTGTTAAGCATAAAGAAAAATCTCACAAAGTTGCACCCAGAAGTGAATGTGAAGCTGAGTATAGCAAGTAAGTAAATCAGTTTTTATACACATACACTTGGTCAAAGGAATTCTGTAGGAATTACAGCAATATGAATGTGGGGTCAAATTTCATTTTCACAAGTCATGCAAATGGAATGACGAATGATGAGCATTATCCATCAATATTTAGTAAAAATATTTACCTTAGCTCATATGGTTATTTTATAATTTTTCAAAATGACAATGTTTCCACACTTTTTTGGCCAAGTGTATTTAGTACACAGCTTCAGTTGTAAAATTCAAAATAACTATATAAGAACATATACCCTCATCTCCAGTCAAAGTTGTCAACCAAGTGTTTATAAACTTGGATCCATTATTTGAACATATCTTTATTTTTATTCAAAATATCATAATTGAAGCCTTTGATGAGTTATTAATAATTAATTCTCAACTTCCCGTGTTTCTTTTACAGAGATGAGGGCAGAAGGCAAAGATTCCATATTCTCAGTATGGATGCAGTATCCTTTACCTCTTAGCATTCACTTTGCAAAAATATAACTTTCCATTGCTGGATTTCTGGTTTAAGAACCATTCTATTGGAGTTTATGTTCTTTTTTTTTTCATGAATCATGGGATATTTAAGAGATTTGAAGGAGAATATGTGTTTGGCGAAAATACACTTGATTGCATCTGTTTTGTTATGAATTCATGTTGTTATGTACTTGTATGCAGTTTTTCATAAAGCACACTTTGTTGTGATACATGTACATCTTTTTCATTGAAAATTTCACTAACATGAGTAGGTTTGTAATTTATTATAATTCCAAAATTCTTTGTAAAAGAGCTAGATATATGGCAAAGGTTAGAGGAAAATGACTAGTGTTTAATAAGATGCTGGACAGGTGTATCTGCACTGTGCATTTTTTTTCCTTCATTGCTAAACCCATAGTATTCAAGGCACAAGAAATTCATCAATGATTACATGATTTACTATGGTGGAAAGTGGTCTGAATTCAAACAGAACAAGTAAGAATGCTGAAATGAAAAAAATATATAATTGTAGAATGTCACTACTGAGTTCATATATTCAACAGCAGCCAACATTTTATGCACTTAAAATTGTGTCATAATGAATTTACAAAGTGTTAATTTTTGTCTTAAGAGACAGTCTACATATAATGTCATTATTATGCGTATGGTACTCTGCTCTTAAATAGTAAATCATTAAGCTTGGATCTAATGTTTTACAGATCAGTAGGCAAGACAGATTTAGATGTTATTCATGAAAATCACAGATTTTTATGGACAGAAGAAGACAACCCTGATGATTCATGGTAAGATGCTCGAGGAATGTACTAATTTTAAAATTATAAACTGTGATTAAATATGAGGCTGTGTTCACAATCAGACAGATGTTGAATTTACCAGATCAACTCAAATTATCTTTACTGAAGTTACCAGATCATTAATTGAAGGACCTTCATTCAACATTAAAAGAGATTTAATCAGCCATAAAACAATCTGGGTATTTGATAACCTCAGTCAGACTATTTTGGGTCTGTTGTTTGGTTTTGAATATAATAGCAGAGATTATTATGATTCATTCTTGTTAATGTATGTTTTGATTAAAACATACTGACAATATGTCATAGCAAAAAAAAAACCTACAACAAAATACTAATAATAACAATAGTATGATTTAATTTTTTAGGGAAAAGAGGATGTCCAAAAAATATTATGACAAATTGTTTAAAGAATATTGCATATCAGATCTAAGTCGATACAAAGAAAATAAGGTATGTTCTGCAATTTTGATTTTTATACATATCTGCATTGTTTATTGTAAATTTTATCATCTTTAGCAAGTATTTTATTAGTTGAAAATTGTTAAATTAAAAAAAAAAGATTTTTTTCCATCTTGCTGACACCACTGTACCTGTAACTTTGATTTTTTTATGTGTAATGTCTGTGTATCGGCCAGCTTTGCTGTCTATTTACATCAATTTATCAGTGCCGAAATCTTTTTTATTGTGGTTTATTAACTTGTTGACATATATCAGCCTACAAAACAACCCACCCATCCATGTACCTATTAATCAAAGTGCACAAGATAATATTTAATATTTAGTAACAATAATATTTTTCTACATCCAGGTTGCCATGAGATGGAGGATAGAAAAAGAAGTAGTAGAAGGGAAAGGTAAATGCACATGATTGTTCACTTACTGTACTTGAGTTTGATGTTAAGTTATTTGAGACACATCAATCAATACTTTTTTATGAAAATGACATGTGATTACAGTAACGGTTGTTACTTCACAATAGAAAGAACACTGTATGTCATCGTCATGTCTAGCATATTTGATTCTTTTTTTACATCTTATTGTCATTTGAGAGTAAAAGTCTGTTTCTTTCATTGAATTTATATATTTTCCTTTCTTCTTTTGCAAAAAAGGCCAATTTATCTGTGGAAACAAAAAGTGCACTGAGAAGGAGGGGTTACGGAGCTGGGAAGTCAATTTTGCATATGTGGAGCATGGAGAGAGAAAAAATGCTTTAGTCAAATTACGTAAGTTATTGCAGTATTTGGCAGGTAGATATATTACTCTCAGTATTATTTGTATAAGCGACCTGGTGTTTGTAGGTAATGTGGCAAAATCAGTTCTTTATATTTTATCAGAAATCTGTAGATTAGTAGTTCTAGTATTGTTTCCCTCTAAAATTGCAATGTTATTTTTTTTACTTAACTGTTGATGTAATATTATAAAGTTTACAGCATTTGAAAGCCTCAAATAACTCAATTTTGCTTAAATGTACCGAATTCTCTTTATTACATAATTTGATTATGCAGCTTTTTTATACCATAATCAATAGGTTTTCAATCTTAAGGATTTAATGGTATAAGGATTTTTCATCACTATAACTGCCCTGTGTTATAGTGTGTTATATATCTGACTTCAGGTTTATGTCCAGACTGCTCTTATAAACTGAACTACCACCACAAGTAAGTCAACTTTGTAGATTATCATGCACATCACAAGAGTAAACCTCAATATAATTGATGGTCAGATAATGGATTTTAAGCTATGAAATATACTAATACTTGATGTGGTTGATGAAAATTGTTATTTCTTGATATATGTTATAGATGATTAGAAAAGATATGCTATCTTTGTGCTTTGATCCCCTAAGACCACTTCATTTGAACTCCTTTAGGGCCTCTTTGATGTATTTAATTTATTTTGGGTAAAAAATGGAATGTTTTATGGAAAGGTCAAAATATATTCATAATGTTAATGGAAGACTAACACCAACCAGGTTTCTCAATTTTGATACCTACAACCAGGAAATGGGCATGCACATACACATTAGCTTGAAAATGACACTTAAAATAATGTTTCATCCACAGGGGAAGTTCAGTTTTCTACCCCAATGCAAATGTTGGATTTTACATATGAATCATTTTACTGATACTCACAACTTATTAAGTTCCAAAAACTGGACAGATAACTTTTGGCCATGTTCTACAAACATTTTATGATACATGGAATATTTTTTTTTGACTGCAAACATTTAGTTTGAATTTATGACCCCAAACATAATGAAAAGGTGACTTAGGCTGCATTCAGAACAGTGGACTGTGGGTCAAGTATGGAAACTCACCAAAAAGATTGATGTCTAATCTAAAAGACACTGAATAGATTCCGTGTGGAGAAGTATTTAAGTGGGTCAGCCATATTTGATTTTCGGACTAGTTAGTCCACTGTTCTGAATGTGACCTAAAGTGATAAATGAAAGAAGTAGTTGAGATTTTTCTTTCTTTCTTTGCAGGAAGAGAGAGCTTACACAGAGCAAATCCTTTGAAAGGCCTAGCAAAATCCAGAGGACAGAAGACCGACCTAATACAAGTATAGCTTTTGAAATTTTGTTTCTGTATTGAATAGCATTCCTACCAAACTGTGTAATAGTCAATATAAATGTAGCAGACTGAAAAAGAGTAAGTCCCCTTTCATTAGGTTTTATGACACACATAAGTTAATTTGGGTTTGATCAATTTTATTAAGCTGTGATTATATTAAATCAAACATAACAAGGCACTACCACCTGATATTTTAATATAGGTTGTTATATGACAGTCCTGACACACCATATGTTTGTATACCCCCTCCACATTTTAGGTACAAAAGGTTCAGGAGTCCACGAAAAGAATGCAAACACTTCAGATAAACCTTCTAGTCTTAAACCTGAAGAAAGTGACAATTCTTTATGGACCGGGCCACAGAAAATTACCGAGGAAAAATCGAGGTATGTGTAGCAAATTTATTGAAATTTGTTTTACTTGGGGGAAATAACTTGATTTGCATTTTTTTTTTAACTTGTCAATTCTTTATGTGGAGTTAAAAGATACATTTCTTGATTTTATTATAAACTTAATATTTTATGAAACCTTTGATGGGATAGTGAAAGTAGGAAACATAAAAATAATTAATGTACTTTTTCAGGGATGAAGAATTTGATGAATACTTTGAAGACATGTTCCTCTGAAAGAGAATTTCATGACTAATTAGATGTCCAGAAGACTTCTAGCAGCGATTCCCTGTAGGCCAAGGAGCAGCCTATTCCATGCTAAAACCTATTTAGAACTCTTCCCTCCAATACACAAGCGAATGTTTTAATGCATTATCATGGAAGACCATGCATTTAGCAGCTTTTATATCTTGATGATATTTCATTGCTTCTCATAAATGATGTACAAGGGACAAGATTTAAATATCTTCAACTAATGTACATTTGGCATGCCTTAGAAAGTATTCAAATTGTTTGGGGTAAAAAATTTCCTTGCAATATTGACTATGTCAGCTAATTGCTTTTCATTGGTGAATTTTTAATGATATTTTTTTAACTTCAAAGGGATCTCTGGGACTTAAAACTGGGAATAAAACCACTTTTACAACATACAAATGCTAATTCATAGAGTATATTTTTTAGGTTGCATGATATTTATGATGATGTAACACCAGCCTGTACGGGTTAAAATGTAATTTAAGGTAAAATGAATGCAATTTAAATAGCTACTATCTATAGAAATCTTGCAAATTTTTTGAAAAAAAAAATCACTTGTATTCCTCCATTTTTTTTTTTTTTTTTTTTGGTAACAAGCCCTCCAGTCTACAGAACAAGTAAAGAGGTTAACATTTAAATTTTATTTCTTATAGATGGCAAAATTCCATTAAACTAACAAGAGACACTGAAAGCAGTGCTGAACACCATCTTTGTACATGTCAACCTTTCTTATTACTGAAATTCAGTTTTATGTAAGTTATAATTGTAGAATATATACCTCCCCTTCCCAAATTTTGAATATATTGTTTTAATGGAATACTTAGCTTTAAAAAATTCACTATAACGTCAATAACAATAAAGGAAAAATGAAAAAAAGTTCATGTTGTCCTCCATCACAAGAATAAATTTAGTAAAAGGTGCATGGATATCTTGAGGTGAGTAATATTCCATTTCAGTATATGTGAAAAAATTTTTTTTCAGCTTGCCAGAGCTGTGTTCTACCCATATATGCTATTAACTGGGATACAAACCCCTTATCCTGAAGTGAAATTGATGAGGTACATGTCAGTTTTCAATTGCCCAACTCTACTTCTTACTACCTTTGGTCCTCGACATAGAGGCTAGCATGGTAGATTGTCATTCCATGAGAGCTATATAGTCTACTGTTACTATTTCATTGGCAAGATGAATGCTGTAACAGTGCTATTGAAAAATATAAGCAATGGCAATGATAATATGCCTCTTTTTTTTCTTTAATCTACATTCAAAGCATGAACTGAATACATTCTACCTGAGAAAATAAAAATTGAAATACTCTTTAATAAGTGACCTGACTACTGAACTGAGACTTGATGATTGCACAAGTATATGTATTCCACAAAAGACAAAAGAATGAGTCCAACATTATAAAGATGAATTATCACAGATATGTATCATAATATAGCATAACATAAACTATTGGTCTACTCTATAAATGATGCATTTGACAAAAATTTAAAAAAAGCAAACCACTTTGAAAATAGACCCATTGTTGTACCTGTGCAGATGTTAAAGCTGGAGACCTATGCCTTACATATAAATGACATGCATTATATCAGCTGTCTGTCTCATAGAAATAATACATGTAAGACCTTCCCCCTCAAGGTTGCATTATAAAAACCACAGTAAGTGTTGTTAATTCATTTGATTTTCATGCATATGGCTGATCAAAAGTCTCCCCACCAATTTAAGCTGCATTGCATTTTCTAGGTACCGCTGACATTGTGTTTGCACTCAATACAAAGCATGTTAGACATTATAACACTTACATAATCTTTGAACCCCCATTAGTATTACAGTTAAGATTACTTGAGTCTTTTTTTAAACCCACCATGTGTAATGCATTTATTCCTTAACATGTGCCACACCCATGAAAATTTACTTTTATATACAATTTGTCCTGAAAGGGTGGGTGTTAACCTCTAAAATATAAATGATTACATCTGTTTCTCCTTATTACCTGAAAAACCAGGAAGGCAAACTTGAAGCGCCCTGTACTGAGTAGATATTTAAAAAGTACAGCATTCCTACTGACATCTTGTCTTAGGTATTTACTTTATATGTGAAAAGAAATGTTGCTTATTTTTCCCCTTTGCAGACAGAGAACCACAATATCCTTCAAACCAAAACGCCAACATACCAGTTGCCCCTACTATAAAATATCCAACACATCAAATAGTTCAGTTGAGTTGAGGGCAGAATAAAAATCAAACTGGCACACTGACACATGATTATAATCCTTTGACTAACTAATTTTCAATTTTGGTTACTCAGTCCATGTCTGCCTGAATTCAGCATTTGAAGTATATAGACCTTTCCTTTAAACCTTTAAGTTAATACAGATATTGTCAGCTGGTATGTAGTACCTGTCAAGCTAAAGGCAATCTATCAACTGTTAACTTGATAGATGAAAAAGATATAGCTGCTCTGGTAACAGTTCATCTGATATATTTTAAATTGTAAATTGCGTTCTGGGCTAAGTAATCTGAAGACGGTAAGTTGTTCACAGCACACTGCAGGCTTTGCTTTTCTTCTTACTTCTGACGTGAGAGGTCTTTCCTGGAGAGCTGCTAGTGGTGAGCTGAGAAGTAAACAAAAAAATGAGAAATTTCCGTTATAATCAAAGAGAAAAAATAACACATTATGAATGTAAAATATTCAAATTGGAGTAGTTGTTAGTCATACTTACATGTTAACCCTCTAAGGGTAGAATGCACTGTTTTCAAAATGCACAATTTTAGGAGGATGTGCTTTTTAAATGTTAGCTGATAATTTGTACTATGGGTGCATATCAACCCCTTTGATTTCATTTTTTTCCATCATTTTTTTTCTTCACAAAAATGTCTTAATCAAAATTATATACGTAGTCCATTCCATCTGTCACAATTATTTGCAATAAGTGGTCTCCAAAGTTACGTGATCCACCACACATATAACTACCACTGAATGCAATTATTCCCCTTCCCCCTAATAAATTTATATGCGGAAATATTCAATAATAAGTACACATAGTCAAAAATGACAAAAGTTATTGGTAAAGCTTTGATGAGTGACTGCACAATCATCAATAATGATGCTAAACCTATTATACTAAAACAATTATTAAATATGTATGAAGCAATTAGTCTAAATGGTCATGAAGGTTAGTCAGAGCTGCATGGATTTGAGCTTAGCATAGTCGTCTTGCAAAATGGAAACACTCAAATTACTAGTAACTAGTGAAGGTAGACATAAATGACTTTCAAAAGAACAGCAGAATCAAGAATCATGTTTTTTCACTAAAATGTCTACCCAGCCAGGTATTTATTTTTGGCAGGTAATAGATCTAATGCTATTTTATGAAAAGTCTAATCTAATACCAAAATAAACTTTTTTTTGGGAAATTCAGTATTACGTGCTAAAAACTATTTACCGCACTGGCTCTCCAGAACACCAGATTCTAGGAATTGACTGGCCCAAAGCAGAGATGCAGAAGAAATTACTATTATAGAAACTGAACAAATTTACATTTTACTGGCCTTGTTTCAGTTTGTTGGCATTTGGTGTGGGGCTAGCAGTAAACAACACAGATAAGTAATTGGAAGTAGTATTTGCTTGATATGTTCAATTTTACCAACATATAACATAACATCGAGTGAAAGCAACAATTTAAGATTCAGTCATTCAAAATGATCGCTTAAAGGAGTTTGATCCAAACATAAAATCACAAGCTGATACTTAGTTTCACTTTTTCCTTATGGTTTGTCAGGATAAAATGTTGAAGTAAATATACACTGTTAACAAATGGATTCTAAAACTAACAAATATGGCATACACATGATCCCTTTCATAATTTACACAACACAAATTAAGTTTTGGAAGGACTTTTTTTCTTTTTTGTACAAACTAAGTCTAAAAAAATTGATAGAAAACTAAACAGCAAAGCTGATAAACACAATGTTTAAAGAAAAATTTAAAGAGAAAAAAAACTCGATAAGAAAGAGAAACAAAAAGCATTTATTTAACGCTTACTTTTGGGGGTATTTCTCCATGAATTTTAAAAGGAGTTTTGAAAACACACGTAACTGTAATTTCTGTACAACTAAATTGCAATGAATAAAGAGTAATGCCATGCATTCACTTTACTCAGAATCTGACGTGCCTTTCAGTCCCTTGAATATTTCAAATTAAGCATATTTGAATTTAGACAAGAACTTTTGTTGAATGTGAATCATTGGTAATTCTCAACCTTTATTTTCAACTAAATAAAAAGAAGCTAGGAAAGCTAATGTTGCAAAATGTTGTCAAAATGAACTTAAAAAAAAAGTATGGGTGCATACAGAGCATCTATGGTAAAATGGATGTGTTCTGACAGTCAAACAGTTCATTGGTCTGACAATTAATTCAATGGTCTTAAATTTTTTTTCAAAAACATCCTGCCTAAATGGTACATAAGCATAACATAGTCGGAAACCATTCCTTTCCTCTGTTTTTATGGGTGTATTCACAATAAAATAATTGTACTAGGTAGTTCAAACTAACTCCACAGGGACTCACGCTGAATGCAATCAGAGCTCCTCCTCTCATTTTTAAGGTACTCGTAAAATCGCCAGCTTTTCCGTCTTCTACTCAAGGCCAGGAAGATGCATGTTAATCTTTTAAACTGATTACATTCAGCCAGAGCCCCCACAGAGTAAGTTCAAACTACCCAGTTCAATAGTTTCATGGTGAACACACCCTACTGATAGCATAAAAGATTTCAGACCACTGAATCCACAGAACTGAATGACCATCAGACCATGACCCTAGAAGTGATTATAATAGAAGTATTTCAGAAGATGCACCCTCTGAAAGCTATACCAGTAACATGCACTACCAAGATCACAAATGTAGTAAAAAAAAAAAGAACAGTACACTATGGAAAAAGAACTATACAGTCCATACTCACAACTATGTCATCCCTTTACAGACAGCAAAGCAGAAAAGGAAACAATTTATTATAACCACTATATAAATAAAGATATCCATGTGCACAGGGAATAAAACATCTGTTTGTTTCATAATCATGCTGTTACTTTCTATGTACAGCCAAGCCAGTGGGACAAATTTTTTGAAAATAGAATATATAAATCTCTTTTTCAGTGTCTCATACTCTGCCATAGATAATACATCTTTTCATTTTTAAAAACTCTTACACTCTATTCCCATAGATTTTAGATCGATCTATCCCCGCAGGGAGTCTCACTGGATTACTTTTAGATAATCCGACTTAAATGTCCATCCCGCCTACTACAAGCTGTAAGTGGGTAATTAACTTTCGTGTCCGCCCGGCTGACAGCTATTTAGCGTGAACCCCCAGGGAGTTAGGTCGATCTAATCTATGGAAATGGGGTGTTAGTACAAAATATTAGGAGAAAATTTAAACTGTCATTTAAACAAAACCAAAAGATACTGAATAACACTTTCTGGCCAATACAGGATTTTCCAATATGTTTTGAGCATGCACAGTACTTGGGATCCAGTGTGAGGCTTTTGTTCAGTAGGCAACTTAAACACAGCTATGTAGGTTGGAACATCCTTGATTGGAACTAAGTTGGAAGCTGCATGTGCAATAATGTTAGTGGTAATGTTTTTTTGTTACCAGCCATGGGTGGCTATGACAACTGCTGTACTGCATATATCTGAAGACTGTATGATCGTTTTATGACTGATAAAAAAAAAGTTAAATCAGTGTTTAAAAGCTAGTGCTAGTGTTTTTAAGTTTGCAGCTGACACATTCAGTTTGGAAAACCAAATAGGAAGGGCTGAACAGCTATTGATGCTGTATCGTCATCAAACCTGCAAATATTGATGAAGACAGGCAAAGCTAGGCGAACACCTAATTTTGTGTGTAGATGTTGAGAAGGAAGTTAATATAAAATATTAATGTATATCAAATGTGTTGATAGACTTTTATGATATTGCTATTTGTATATTGAGAGTTTTACAAGACTATTTTTACTTCCTTTATAAAATGGATCATTTTGCCTGTGTTAGATATTTATGGATGCTGGAAATGATTATATTTTCGAATAATTGATACAATCAGCTGTTAACTGTCACTGAAAGGCAGTTTTTCAGGATACTGTTTTGTGTGCTAACAGACAATTTGATTGTGGAATTACTATACCTGTCTCTGTGATTTCTTTCTCTAGATCTCATTTTTATTACAAGAGATAAAGAACTCTCATATAAGCCTTTCAAGAGGTTTAATAACTTATAGAAAAATACTTAGATGTGACACCATTTAGTAACAACAAATTATTTAACAACAACTGAAGCACACCTGTGCAGGTAAAAGTAGATAAGATGAACCAAAGAAGTTTACTAAGGGAGTGTTCCCATAACCCAATTGTGCTAGCCGGATTGATCTAACTCCTCATGGATCCTTGCTAAATTGCATTCAGTTTAAGTGGCTTAAAATATCCCCTCGTAACTTAAAGTACTTGGGTAAAGTTGGGGAAAACTTTGTGGTCCATGATGTTGTTCATGTTGCTTTGCGAGGGGGTGTACCAGACAATTAAGCTGATTACATTGACTGCACCTTATTGAGAATCCCAGCTGAGATAGATCAATCCTGCTAGCACGATAAGGTAAAGGGAATGCAGTCTAAGATTGAATGAAAGATTTAATGGTGCCAGCTTTGCATTACTGTTTATGTTGACAAATTTTTAACAATATTGCTGTTGGCTGGTTCTTGTTCAAATTAAGTTTTATGTCTCCAATACAAACTATTTAAAGCATGTCAAATAATGAGAAAACAGCTTTTCAAATTTTGCCAAAAATAAAAACAAATCTATAAATACACACACTTGTTTTATCTATATGGACATGTTTATTTCCAATCAAATGCTACTGCTTACATTGCATACAGTTGTATATAATTCCATACTATGACATGCTTTTTAAAAACTTTAGTTTTAAACCTTAAATTGAATTTGTCATATTTGATAAAATGAAAATACCATCATAGTTAATACTTGTTTTCACATAAATATTTCACTAAAAATCATACAAGAAAATCTTGAATTTTCTTGGAGACCGCCAGAAGTACAACTTTCAATGTATAACTGAATCACGTCTATGCCACAGCTAGGCTTGCCCCCTAAAACTTCAAACCTTGCTCAATCTCGCGTTCTCACTGATAAAATGCCAAAAGTGCAACAATCATGGAAAATCGCATATTGGTGTATACATCCATTTACAGCAGATGTCACTTAGGAGGTTGGGGGGAGGGGGGACTCACTGGACCAGAGCTGTACTTGTGTTTGCATTGGACATGTAACACTGACTATCAACAATGGAAACAGTTTATCATTTTAACACAATGGTGGCTTTGCTGAAACTATATGACTTGAGGCCACTTTTATTTGAAAAACTTGATCTTACAATTTTTAAAGATCAATTTTATGTCACATGAAATGATTGCACATTTCAAAGAAAGAAAGGGAACTCTGAGTTAAATAAATGATTCATAAAAAACTAAAACCTCCACAACAAACTTTCTGACAATAAAAGAGTGCATATTCATTTTTATACTGATGATTTTTTTTAAATTAACCACAAATATAGGAATATATTATATTTTGGCTTGAATTCTTGGAGAGTAAAATTCCAATAGATGCAATTAAAAATGGCCTTACATCAGTTACGTGCATGCAGTGTATATACATGCTTTTGTAACTGTAAATCATCTTTAGAGTTGGTGAGGAAACATTATGGAGGAGAAAATAATTATGGCAGGAAATAATCAATATCAATGAATAGTGTGCTGATCAAGTACCTTTGTTTTGTCTGTGCCTTGGGAACCTCCTTCCTGTGCATGCACAACACCAGCTGGGGGGAAAGTGAAAGTGAAAGCATTATTTTTAAGCAAAGCTGCAAGCTAAACACAAATTTCACAATTCATGACAATGCAAATAACAAAACTTTCATTTGAATGACAGCAATAAAACAACATGAGAACTTTAGGCTTTCATGCTCTGTAACCATGCAGTATTAACAATTAAATGTGTGAGTTTATTTGTATTAAAAAGTAGCCAACACTGCATGCTTAAAATGTATTTTCTTAATAAAACTTTAGTGTGAAATCATTTTTGTTCATTAATTAACATTCCTGGCAACATGTTCAAAGAAATATGAACTAAAAAAGCGAAAATTGGCTCTATGCCCATGCAATTATAAACTAAATGTTATGAATATATATATATATATATTATATGTATATTTGTAATAACAAAAAGCAACAGAGTTAAATAACATTTGTAAGTACATATAAATCAAAGGTATCTGTACATCAGAGCATTATATTATTTTTGATTTTATTGAAATAAGTTCCCACAGTTTTAAAAATGGAACATTATAAATATGCATGGGAATTGCAGCAGAGATATAGTACAGCATATAAGCATAGAACAGATAAAAGTGCAGTTAATGACAAGCTCAAGAACACAGAGAAATAATGGTCTTTATGAATGTGCAAAATGTACAGCCACCTATGCTGATGAACACAATGCACTTTAACAGCATGACTAGTGACTTGATCCTACTGAAAACAAGCCAAACTAAGTTTTATCCTTTGTCTAGCTACACAGCTATATGTAAGCCCATGTACACTGTAACTCTTTACTGCCAATCAGCGAATCATTTGCATGCTAAACATCTTGCAGTTTTGCTAACAAAAATGGTCATTTTAACATATGTACAGATTATATGTACAATTTAATTGGAGGGGTTGGAAAGGGATTGGTCATTCCACCAACAGTGTATAAAATTGTACAAAAGGTTTTTTAAAAATTGCACGGACAGACATAGGGCAGTATACAGGTGCCCTTTATTTTAACCCCACTAATTTTTCGATTTCTTTTCTATATGCAAACATGTTGATAATCCCCCCCCCCACCTTCCCTTTAAAATGTAGCACAATCCTAGCTCCACCAGTGTGGGTGGCATATGAAAGTAAACCTTAAGCATATCCTTTTAACGCATACCCTGAGTAGCTTTTAACTTAATCCAATACACTGGAATAAAGATAAGTTTGCTCTACGGGAGAGTGTAACCAGATCAGCTAAAAGAAAAGGCTTCAGCTGAATATAAAATTGCAATTTATTTGATTAATATTGCAGGAATTCATAAAAACATGAAGTCTCTTTGACAATCACTGGAACTGGGAGAAAAAGGTGTAGCAGCAAAGATGAGATATAATGATGTTACTATTAAGCAATACAGTGTAGTGTGCACAACCACAATAGCCGCAGTCATATTAACACTGGACTAAAAAAAAACATTCTTAAAAGATTAATATAAGGAGACAGGTATCATTTTAAAGACTCTCAATCCCTTTCCATACCCTTTAATCTGTAATGTTAATTTTTTTTTATTCTTTTCATTTATTCCCTCGTTACTTTTGTGCAAGTTAGCTATCTAGTGTCTAACCATGAGAGCCATTTTGTTGTTGTTTCTTGGCTGTCACCTCATGGCCGTCTGCCATACTTTGCCACTCTTTGCGATTACTAACACAGCCACTATGGAGATGTTGCAAAGATGGTTTAAGCTGGGCCAGCATCTGTAAGGGAACCAGAACAGAACTTAGGGCAGAGCTGATACTGAAACATCTCAGCTCCAGGATTTTGTCAACTAAATAATAATAATAATAAAAAAACATAATCATCCCCCTTTTTCTTGATTCATATGGAGTATGGAGAACAGATGGCTGAAGAAATAATCAAGATGCCTGCCATGCTCCATTTTTTTACAAACCAAAAAAAAAGTAAAAAAAAAATCTGTCATTAAATATTTACGTGCCATAGAATGTAAAAAAAAGATACAGCCATAGGGACACATGGTAATGCAATGGGCCATCTACTCCATCACTTTTGCTTATCACAATGCCCAGTAGGGAACCCGATGTTTTATCTTGTAGAGCCCAAAAGGGTTTCAATGTCACTCTATGTAATTTGCATCCAGTGCCAAGTCAATGACATGCAGAGGCAGTATCTGAAAACGGTTTGGTGCAGGCAACTGGCAGAGTAATGAAAACACAACATAGACATGCCAAAGAGAAATGACATTATTCTTGCCAAAGATGCAGAGAGAAAGAACACTGTTAACAACACTGAAGTTCATGAAATCAGAAAATTGGCATACACAAGTTCCTGCAAAGTACTTTGATAATAAAGATTTGATGCAAGGAGCTGGCATAGATTTGAAGAACCTGTAACATAAAAGCAACAAATGCCCATTTTAAACTGTGCAAAATCCAAGTATACAGTAAAGCAGGCAGTGCAAAGAAGAAATACCCAAACCAAAAATGATTTCAAATTATAAGAAGCAACAAATGGAACTGCTTGTGAAATAAATCCTGCTTTGGGGATAAGTATAATTCAGACAGCACTAATATCATGGTCCCCTAACCAGAGTTGTGTGGATTTTCAACATGCTTCTGCTTCCAATTCCTCCTGTTACCCTCGCAGCCTTCCAACATGACATTCAGTGGTTCCCAGAAGTCTGCCATCAACTGGGAACAGTAGAACAAAAATGTCACAGAAAATCAGCATTAACCGCTCAAAATGTATTTCATTCTTGTCTGAATTTTCAGCTATTGTTTATTTTTTACTTTGATGTAAGGTCAGTTAAATAAAGACTAAATATTTTCAATTATTTTGCCAAATGGAAATTTCACCTTCGATAAAATGCATCTCATGCAAGAGATATTCAGTAGCAAAAAGCTATTTTTGTGCAAAAAAAACAAAAAAAAAAACAAAACTGGCAATGGAGCAACCGTCTGGAAATGATCTTTTTAACTTTATGTCAAATATAAGGTTAATTAAGCAGAAAATTGGTTAATCACCCTTCCCCCTCCCTCTGATTGGAAACGATATTTAAATGACTTGTTTTCTTGTTATAAATGCCAAGTAAAGTAGCAAATATGTAAATTGATATAAACAGAACTAAAAAAGATACATTAAAAATACAGCAAGGCTGGCAAATGCATATATTGTAGTTGCAATTTTTTCTTGAAAATTTAACCCTTTGAGGCCAATTTATGCATGCAAATAAGATATCAATCATATAAATAATTTGTATTAAAAAAGGGATGCCATCAGTCTTGAAAAATGGTACGTGACAATGAATCAGACATTGCGTATTGTAGCATACTTTAATGTTAAGAAACAACAGAATCTGTACAAAATAAGTCAAACTTATTTTCTGCCTTCTAAATCTTCTAAATGTATGTAACCAATATATTACTTTTTGAGAAGGATCCTTGGAACATAAAATATGTCTGCAATCAAAAATACTTTTCAATGTATCAAGTTTTCAAAATGTATTCTTAAGGCTAAAATGTAATGCTGAAGATGAATTACACGTTTATTTTATTTTTTCACTTCCACACTGCAATTTTTTTATGGTACAAGAGAACTTACCTTATACAGGGGCATACATATGGCATCAATAAATCCAACCTGCATTTTTGGGAGCTCATCTTCCTTTTCTCGATCCATCATTGCCTAAAGAAAAATGAAAAAATAAAATTTACAATTTCTTTGAGATACAGGTAGCTTAACTCCTAAAATAAAACTGAATCTTTTTTTTCAAAAGTACATGTAAACTTAGGAATTCCCCAAGATCATTATCTAAATAATGCAATGAAACAGATGTCAAAAATGTATACCTACATGAGGTTTCAAGTTGAGCTGTGACTTCTCAATGTCCCCTTGTTCAAAGAACTCACTCGCCACCAGTTTAGCCACCCTCTGCTGTATGGGCCAAGGCTTTGTAATGGCTGACACATCACAGGCTGTCATCATCATGTTCCTAAAAAATAATATATACATATATTAATTTAATGCAGGAAGGAAGGATGAAAAGAAAGAAAGACTGTCACAAAGTCTGCCAAACATGAATTTCAAATACACCTACCTGAGCAATTCTTTCTTTTCTTCTGTTACAAATTTTTTCTCTCCACGCTCTACTAAAGTTTGAAAGTTGCCTCTTTTCCTACAAAATTGTCATTTCAAAATTTATCTTATCATACATACAAATCTTGAAGTGAAAAATGTTAACAACATAGTTTTTGTACAATTTTTAATTTCTTGACAATATTGACAATGTTGTCCTTAAGGCTCTATTCCCATTGATTTTAGATCGATCTATCCCCTCGGGGAGTCTCACTATAGATTACTTTCAGATAATCCGACTTAAATGTCCGTCCCGCCTACTACAAGCTGTAAGGGGGGTAATTAACTTTCGTGTCCGCCCGGCTGACAGCTATTTAGCGTGAACCCCCAGGGAGTTAGGTCGATCTAAAGTAGGTCGATCTAATCTATGGAAATGGGGTGTAAGACTATATTAGAGCCAGAGCCTGGGATTGTTTACAAATTACTGAAGTGCTTGATTTGACCTTAATATTCAGCTATTTATCATTATCTCAAATTATGAAGCTTAAGCTGCCTTGATGAATTCAGCATTTTGCTGTCAAATGAAAAAGTAATATGATGATGGTAGAGTACAAAATATGTGGTAAATTGAAATACATGTATTTATATATAAAAAAAAGATGTATGCCATTACCAATCTCAGTTGGGAGTTTAACATATCAGGACTGGGACCCAAAGCTATCTTGGCCATTATATCTTTTCTAATTTGAAAAAGCATCAGTTTTATTCCCACTCTGTTTACCAATCGTGATATAATTGCATTTTTCATTGATTGTTAGAAATATCTTAAGACCAACACATAATCTCAGATTGTTATCTTAACACATTGACTCCAAAGTTAGTAAACCTGCCTTCCCACATAGACAGGAAATCATTAAAAGATCACGGTTTCAGGTTTTTGCTGATGAAATCTGAAACATGCAATTTTTTTTTCACTGGATTCATATATATCATTTTGAAGTCACTTTCCCTGGCAACACAATGGCACAAGAAGCGTATTGATACTTGCTTTGACAACTGAGAGAACCTCACATTTTACATACACCATTTGACCACCATAAACATACAAAAACAATGCTTTAATGTCATCCAAAAGATCAAGCAACATAAGCTCTAGAAATATAAAACCTAATAATGTAAAACCCTTTTTTATAAACCATACGTATATGGTAACAGTGGTTTTGCATCAATATGTCGACCAGAAAGCCCATCATTCCTGACTGAGTTCAGTTGGCATTGACTTACTTGAAATACAAAGCCAAGTCTGTGGCTAGAATGGCACTTTCCAATATCTTAATTACTTTGCGATAATCTTCTGGGGATAAGTTTTCAAAGATGTTGTTGCCCTGAAATATAATCAATCAGTCAATCAATCCACAATCAATCAATAAAACAAAATAAAGAAGAAAATAATTTAAAATAAATGTGAAGTCGGCTTCTTGTGATTAATAGATCACTGGTCACTTTTACTAGCAGGCCTCAAGAAAACTTCTAGTTTAAATTTGATACGTGTGCCCAAGTTCAAATCAAGATAAGTAGCATAAAGATGAAACTACAGAACAATATAATATAATCCCATGCATTGACTGATATTTCAACTGGCCTGACAGGACAAGTATGAAGATAAAAACATCCTGTACTATATTTGCAACACTTAATGCAGAGTACACATGCTCATAGTCTTGACAAGCAGACAAGACTCATGCCACCAACATCAATATGTGTTCCTACTGTACCTCGCTGTTGAGTATAAGAATGGAGTGGTCAAAGTGATGGTGCTCCATGGTAGAGGTACTGTACAGAACCGCAAGAGGAGAGTCCACCCTGGAACAATAGAACTCACTGTTACATTTTCTATGCTTTTTCAAACCCATACAGTGTGACCAAGACACTGACATGGGACTACACAATGTCTGTAAAAAAATATAATAAGAATAAGAATATTTGCCCTTATTTTGAATTTGATTTTATTTAAATCAAAGAGGCAAATGACTGAACTCTACACTTCTAAAAACATGGTCCCCGATGTAAAAAAATCAATATACAGAAACAGGAGATAAACTTCTCAAATGTCAACATTAGCTACTGATTCCATCTCCTCACTTTAGCTGAAATGCATTGTTTGTCCCCCTGTGATCCAAGTCATGGCACAGGCAAGCCACTATCAGGCCAATCACTTCCAGGTCAGTCAACATGTTCCTCATCTTTCCTGTCTGAAATGAGTTCATGATCAGTATTAGCGTTCCAAAGATAATTAAGGTGATTTTCAGTTAATGTTACTTTGATATGACTATATATCAACTTGGTGGTGTAAAATGCACGTGAACCAGGGAATATTGATGAATATTTGTGAAATTGCCATAGTATTATTTTAAACTTTAGTACCAACTTAAGAAAGAGACTGAGAAAGATGAGACTTCATTTTTACATCTATTACACATATCAAGAATATTTATCCAAATACAGTGCATGTGTGTGGGAATACCATAAATCATGTAATACTATGTTCATTTATATACATGCATGCCTGTGACCCACAGGGTCCAGCGTGTCTGCATGTGCATGTGCCCATGCACTCCACTGCATGTTGTCCTTGGATATTAGTGTATGTGTTTAAATACAAGATAATTGGAAAATGATTCTGTGCTACATGCCAATAATTTTCCCAAATTTGTGTGCAATATCATTAAGATAATTATTCATTGGCTAATGGCATGTCCCTGCAATAAGACGTCATTAATTTCCACAACTGTTGTCAATTCAGGCAAGAGAGAGCATTGGCATTACCATACCTGCAAAGCAGCTCTGTGTCACAAATGCCAATCCCTTTTCATCTATTTCACTTAATTAGATTCATCATTAGTAGATGGAATAATGATAGCATCGTTAAAACACTTGGTAATAACCTTTTCAATCATCACTATCATCAATTAGTATTTTCAGATCGTAGCCACTGTATCAAAATGTGCTTGTATCAATGAAGCAATAATAAATAATAACACAGTACACAATTCCAATGCAACGTATGCATTAATAATGATAGAAGACTCCATAAATTGATGGAATTCATTTCCCATTCAGGTGAAAAGCTAGTTCACACTCAATAAATCTGAAGTACAGTGCAACAACATAATCAATACATCCTCTACAAGCATGTTTTTTCATTATCGATGAAAAAAAAACATCTATATATTTCTCCACAAGGCTATCATAAATTCATTTCTTACCGTGAACATTGTGAACATTGTCTGCGCTACATTGAAAGCATGCCTCCAATTGTGGTAGGTTACAGGTCGGTAATTCTTCCTCACGCTACACAGCCACCGACAAAGAACCTAGAAAACACAAATTGCCTCTATGTTCTAAACATATTTCAGATAGGGTATGTAGAATTAATTTTAATATTAGTTACAAGTAATTCATTTTAAAAAATCTACAACCAAGTTATGTACATTGTTTGCAGTTGTGTTGAATTAACAGACATGTATGGTACTGCCAGTGCTAAAAAAATCAATTTTTTTGCAATAAGTTCCAAAACACTGATATATCATTTCCCTGATATATCATGGAAAGATTGTTCAGAAACAATTTTAATTTTCTTAAAATCCATTTATACCTTAAAAATAAACAGCAAAATGTCATGCACAACTTTAAAGTGTGAAATATGGGTCTGTAGCCTGGGTCTCAACTTTAAAGTGTCTTTCTAATCTATTTTCAATCATTATTTCTAAACTGTGCTGTTGGCTCAAGTAGAAAGTTTGATTTCCCTTGTGATTTTAAAGAAAATGAAAATGCAAGAGATGCATTCAAGGTCAAAATTTGACACCATGACAAAATATCATAGCATGCAACTCTACCATATAAGATTACTTCTGTTGTAAATAAACTGGAGGTGAAACAGTGAAAGTAGCAAACATCAAGGAATAAACTACAAAAGTTGATGAAACTAGAGGATCAGAGAGGCGATACCGCCTCCAAATATTGTACCACCAGCTGGAGCAAACGCATTCGTTTAGAACCCCACAACCCACAAATAAGGGACACAGNGAGATTATAGGTGACCTAAATCCATGAGATGGGTAGGGGGGCCCTTACCGTCTAGGAGGAGAAGCGGTAACGGTAGCCGTCCAGCGGAGCCGGCGGAGCCAACGGAGCCGGCGGCCGGCGGAGCCGGCGGAACGATCCGGACGGGACCGAAACCATGTGTACCGCCAGCGCTAACGCTGGTGGTACAATAACACCTCAGGAATAGGATCCACTGTATTCCCAACTGCCCATCTTCAACAAGTTTGCAGGTTTTTGCCTGTAGATACAGAACTTTTTTTTACAGTGTCAAAGTAATACTGCATGACAACATCAATAGAACATTAGCTTACCTTCTCCTACAGGAAATGAAGTATTATCTTACCTCATAGCTCAAATGGAACTTATTGACTAAATCCAATTCTAAAAACATTCGAATGGTCGCCTGGAGTGTGAGATCTTCCCCTAGTGGTAAGTCATCAAAGTCAAAACTGTACAGGTTAAGTTTCTTTGCAGATGGGATATGGGAGTTCTGGAAGATTAAAAAAATTCTGTAATGCACACGTCAGTGGAGAGATCAGACAGCACATCAATTTTGGCCGTCACACTGGGATTTCAACCAATTTTTTGTAAATTGCCCAACAGAGAGCTGATGAAGTCATGCAAGAATCATGTACATGCTGGATTAGCTTTCCAGTGTTTTTTACTTGGAGTGCAGATCTTTTTGGCTGTAATATAAATGAAAGGCACTTTTTATGGCCCTTGTTACTTTCTTATTAATAAACTTAATCTCTGTAACTGAGCTAAATATTGTGTTGGCATTAGTTTTTTACCATCTTAACTGATGCCAATACCTATGCAAACATTTTTTTTTTTCATATTCGTTATTACTTTCTATTTCCTTCTAAAAAGCCATTACTTTTTTTCTTTAAACTCAACACTTATGTCATGACAATTTTAGCAGGATCTTTTTCTCACATAGTTAAGTAACATATCAAGAATATTAAAGTTAAAGAAATTCTGTTAAAAATCTGAGTTTCCATCAAGATGACTTTGAAGATTTAACAAATGTTCCGGTCTCTTCATCAGATGAACAGCCACACCTTTAGTGCTGCAGTTTCTTCCTTGCTGGCCATGGCATGATAGGACAATACTTCCAGGGCAACACTTTGTTTAGCACTTAACTTGACAGCATTCTCATACATCTGAGTATTGTGGATGCCAAGGCCGCAGAATATTGCAAATGCCTGTAAAATACAAAGACCCACAAAGGATGACAGAGAATTGATTAAAATGTGTATGGTTTAACATGTAGCCCCCTGGGTCCATACACTTTCTCTTCTTCTCCAGTGACGCATTATGAACATCTTATCAATACCGGCAAAGCTGTATGTCAGAAAATGACTAGAGCAAACTCAATCCCCAACAAAGCAGACAAGGCAGAGCAAAGTAATGGCCTGATATTTGAAAAAGAGAATATAATGACTTATCTGATACATTGCAGATTTATTATTCATGACAATCATATCGAATGGTGCAAATGGTTCAGTAGATGAATAGACAATTATGGTAAGAGTACTAACATATTTTGAAAATCAGTATATATGCTGTAGGCCAACATTGGACTTTCATGTGGTTTACTAATAAAGATTTGGCAGTTTGCAGTGAAATGTAATTGTTATTCTATATTTTACAAATACTGAGCAAGGGAGCAAGAAAAAATAGGCCTCAGGGAATATTGCCTGAAAGGCCAATTTGAAAGTAGTTTGGTCTGGCAAATATCAGGATTAAGCAAAAGACAGTGTTCACATCAATTATTCAAGAGACTTATCACTATACTGAATCACAGATACATCTGCTAAATGACAATTTGACACCATATTTTTATGGTTTGACTAAAATAAGATGAGTTTTTACTTACCTCAAACATATTCATATCACGTTCATAAAAGGGATGTTTGTTCATTTTATTCATTAACTGTGTGATGCCTATTATGCAGTGTTGGCTGTTATAAATCGGCATGCAAAGCATATTCTGGAGCTGGAAACCATCTTCTTCTTCTTCAGTACCCTGGTGTTCAAAAAGATAAATGTTGAAACAGTTTAAAACGATATTTGAGTTAGTGAAACTCTGGAAATATCTGCAAAACAAAGCTTTAACCTCTTGATGCAGAAGTTTATGTTGTTCACAATACTTAATTACTACGCTTCATTCAAATAGCCATATGCCAAAAAAATGCATGCAGGTATAACACAATTCTCACACTTTTAGATAAGCAAAATGAATTATAACAGATTGATTCCAAATGTATCCTAACAGATAACATCTGGATGAACCCAGAAACAATCCTGCTGAAGCTGACAAATGCTCAAACAACCTATCTCAGTTTAAATATTAAGGGGAAAAAACATGTGCACTGAATATACCCACACCTGTAATGAAGTCTAAATATGCTTCCAAGAAGTTTGAAGGAAAAGAGATTTGCCTTCTTTACGCTTTTTGGTAAAAGGGTTGTAATGCACAAATAATTGAAAAACAAGATTGAAAATATTTAAATAATTATTGAAAAAATATCATGAATAATCCAATCACATCTATTTTAATACTGTAGTACCTGTACACATTCATTCATCTGACACGAAAATAACTCATTACCTTCTTCATAAAAATTAAAAAAGTAAAGTTCAGATCTTGTATACTGCATTCTATGTGTCTCAGCAAGATAAACAAGATGCTGGGAATTTTTGGCCTGGGCCTCCCTGGGAGGATACAGCCTAGCTGTCATTACGAGGTACTGAATGCTAGCATAATACCATGAGTATCTCTACAAAGTTTTATTACTTCACAAATATTTCCATCTTTCAGAAAGGGACAATATTTGAAGTTAAGATCAAGACCTTGGGGTGAGAGCACAGAATCTGAACTACTGTTTATTTTGATTAGCAACGAAAATGGAAAAACAAATACATGCTACTGTAGACAGAAAATGGGCTTCAAAAATATTTTATTTATGAGATCCATCAATATATGGAACATTCTGATGCCAAAGCATTGCAGCCAAACATAATCACCACCCAATTTCAAGTATACCATGACAAACATCACTATCTGACACTACACATTTTTAATGCAAAATACTATAGACAAAATTGAACAGGATGCAATCTAATTATGGATTAATAGCTAACAACNGCAATTAAGCTTATCTTGATCCTTCTCCTCTATCAGGAGGTATGTTTCTTACCGGGAAGATAATTCTCAACACATTTTCGGGTACAGTAAGTTAAATTTAACTTAATCGAGATGCAGTAATAAATATATTATTATTTACCACCAGAAAACGACTTAGGAAGTAGTTAAAAATATCCCACAATATAGGAGGGTCAAAGATAACAGTCGCTAAGGATAAAAGCCCAAAGGCCGGATTTTTGAAAATTTCGTCATACCCAGGAGTCGGGGAGAGGTAATTTTGAAAAATTAGTCGGATTTACACAATTAAAAATATTAATTAATTTTTAAGCGACGAAATTTTCAAGACTTTACCGTACGTGGATAAAATCTAAAAATGAGTTTTGGAACAGCTGCAGCAAAGCAGCTATAAATTTGGCAGTATATTAATGGAAAAAGAGATAATGTCCAGACATTTAGTCTGATAAGGCAGAATAAAAATTACTGTGCACAGAACATCGACAAGAGAGGCAACTGGGAAAATAATGAAAGGATTAAATATAGATACCAAACACTGCCTATACAAGTATGTTAACATATTGTGCTAAATTAACAGGCAATTTCATTGGACTTGCTTTTCAAGTTATTTTTTCTAATAGAACACACATATATGAACATCAAGTTAATAATTGCTGAAGGGGCAGAAGTCCATAAAATATGGTGAAATATGGCATAAAACATTGTTTGATCCCATAGTTTATTGCAAAATTAATGATTCATGTCTTCAAATCATTAATTTTGCAATAAACTATTGATTCAAACAAAAAACACCAATATCTAAAGGCTAGGTTGAGCAACAAATTTATCTGTTTAGATTAGTTTTTTATTTAATCCAATGCATTAGCTTTATCTAGAAGCCAAACATCAGGGGCGGATCCAGAGATATTTTCTGACAGTCTTCCAAATTATCTTTGTTGATCCATCCTCCATTTTTGACTGCCTTCTGACAGAAAAAAAATAGATATCCCTCAATGTAAACTTGAACACCTTCCGGAAAACCCAGAAGACGGCCTAAATCTGCCCCTGTACATTTTTGCTTGCCAGACAAATACAAGTGTGACNCAATGCATTAGCTTTATCTAGAAGCCAAACATCAGGGGCGGATCCAGAGATATTTTCTGACAGTCTTCCAAATTATCTTTGTTGATCCATCCTCCATTTTTGACCGCCTTCTGACAGAAAAAAAATAGATATCCCTCAATGTAAACTTGAACACCTTCCGGAAAACCCAGAAGACGGCCTAAATCTGCCCCTGTACATTTTTGCTTGCCAGACAAATACAAGTGTGACTTCTGACATTTAAGCATATAAATATCTAAAAAAAAAAAAAAAAAAAAAAAAACTGTGAGACTAGTGTAACAGATCTATTTGCACCTATTACAACAGAGGAAGTTTGGAGTAAAATAACAATGCAATCCACATGCATGTAATCTACGAGCTTCAGTATGAACACACAACAAATCAACAGCCAGCGCAATACCAGTACTTACTTCCTGACGACTGAATCTTGTATCGCTTTGAACATCAGAGATGTTAAGTGTCTGAAAAAAAAATAGACATATGATAGCCGTATAAACATGCACTGTATTCATGAGTAAAGGAAAAAGCAACAATTGTATATTTAGGAACAGATACTGTTAATTATTAACATCAGAGATGTTAATGTATATATACATTTATAAAATCTTATCACAGGGACAAACTGTTCTGCACCAAACTTCATTCAGTGCATACATGGGTAAAGCAAATTTTTATTACATAATTTACACAGGGTCTTGACCATAATGCAAATGAGTATTGGCACAACTGTCATTTGGAACTATTTGATATGTAATACATGTATAATGTTCACATATCGGGAAGGCATACTCTACAGAGGCATTTCCACTGAAGTTTTGAAGGTTTTGACTAGCAGCTGGATGGTGGGCTGCAGTTTCAAAGTGTTCTGGTGACATACAGCATGAAAGTACATTGCAAAATATGACCATAACATATAATGACAGGCTCTGGTTGTATTGTATTATCGAATGGTTTGGTTTTCCAATGCCATCTCAGCAGAGTTCAAACTTTCTTTGACAGATATCCTTTGATCCTACACAAAAGCAATTAATGCACAGATCAAATGCAATATCTTCCTTTAATTGCTGCTGCAACTATTAGAGCAAGCTTTTACGTCAAAACGTGGGATAAAAAAAAAGACTAATCCAGGAAATAGTTATCACTGAAAATTGACAGCAGTCCAGGGATGTCAAGTGGGTTATAACATGACTGACAGTGAAACCAGTATTATTGCATTTGATTGGTTTCAATCTCATTTCTTAATGATGTATGATGTGCATGTCAAGGGATGCCTGACAAAAATACTCATATGTTCTGTTGTCTACTTTCTTTTTTTACTTTCAGTGCTGCAAATCAATTTTATAAACTATATGTAACAGATGGATGTTGGTAACAGCTGCACAAATTATATTAAATTATACATTTTTTTCTATTTAATATTTATTAAGTTACTTTTTTTGATGAAGACAAAAATCTTCTATATAATTCATTCCATTATACACATCTAATTGTAAAATGTATACATGCCAATAAAGCACATTTTCTCATAAAAATGTGAAACAGAAAGTTTGATAAAGTCACTAATGTCATTTTTAGGCATACAAAAGAGGTAAGATTTAGGTCATAATTTTTAATATTATGCAACAAATTTTAACCTGCTCAATTGGCAAAAATGATGTGCTTGACTTTTTATATATTTTCTGTTTCAAAAACATACCTCATGTGTTGAGGCCACATAACGTGCTATTTCTGCATTTTTAGAATTCACCAAATCTTTCTCGCTGAAATAAAACATACAGTAAATTATTTAACACAAGACATAAAACATTATTTTTGCTAAATGTAAAATCATATTAATGATGTGCTGACCATTCAAAAATTAATTTACATCAAATATATAAAATACAGCAGAGCATTAAACAAATCCTTTAAATATGCACAGATGCCACATGTTTAAATCATTACCTGAGTAATCGAATAGTCCCTTTGTCTTTCATGAACAAATCAAATGCCTTGGCAAAAACAATATCCTAGAAGATAAAAAATTAAGCCAGCATATTGAATCTTTTCAAATGAACATTAAGACTGTTAATATTCAGAGTAAAGATAAATACCTGGAACCACTACTGCATCCATGTGCAAAGCACCATCCTGTACGTAATTTTAGATATATGCCTCTCGTATACCTACACCTATCTATGTCTAGATGATCACGCAATACATTGTAATGTTTACCACTGACAACTCAACATAATTGTAACTGTCTGGCATGTTGACTTCAGAATACCTAAGTACAGACAAGAAATAGTAGCTAAAAGTTGAACCACATAAAAAAGTTTTAAAAGATTTGTCATTTTATGAAAATAAAAATGGCATTTTTGTCATCTCTCTCTCTCTCTGAATCATATAAAACTTTGCTTTAAATTTGCAAACAATTTGCAACTTACCACTATAATCATCATAAGTCTTCTCAAATATTTGATTTTGATGGTCAGTTACATCTGACATTTTATAGACTATAATAACAGAAAATGGCCTCTTGGGTATGTACTAAACCTGAGATTAACAGAAGATTTAGTAAGCCTTACAAATGTTATGACACTTAACAACTGATATGGCTTCCTAGACAATCAGTGATGGGTAAATCTATCTTAGGCAAAAGATAAAAGAGGTCTTTGTAGCAGGAAATTATTTTGCTTGTTAGGTTTGCCTGCGTCACTGTGATAATTTGTTTCATGTAAGTACTCTATCTGGAAATGAAGTTGTCAAAAAAAAAAGTCACATCTCTGTTCAATTGAAAAAAAAAATGATCGTATCAGCAGACATTCACAATCTTACAAACTCACAGAATCACACATATGTATATGGTCAAATACACGCACCTTTGCTTACATTAAAATAGGTGTACACAGCATTTTGAGTGCTTGTATGTTGCTTCTTGCCAATTACGGGTGAAAATAATGTTTAATGGATCTAGCACATTTTTCACAAAAGTCTGTGAGCTGACAAAGGCAAACAGACCTAGCTACCATCTTAAATCTAGTGTTCTTATGGGACCCAAGGCCAAAATGATCCTTTAAGGATACTAAAAAAAAACATATTCAATTTTTTTCAGAAAATTAAAGCCAATTTTAGCATTTTACCTTGCATGAGTATTCAACTTTTGAAATTTCTTATTATCAAAAAATAGTGTGACATACCGGTATGCTATCTGAAATGAAAACTGAGAGATTTGTGTTTAAAAAAAGATTCTCATAATATCTTGTGTCTTATTAGCAAAACATTTAAAAAATTTGCAACCAATGAATGGTTACTCTCTGATCATAAGGTCTGCTAGTAGTCTGTTACAACATAATTGTATCAGACCCTATGGGAACTGAGGTGATCAACAGGAACACGCTCCTCGCCAGTCATACCCTTTGCATTTATTTGTCAATGGGGACGATTTCACATCTAAATGTTGAGTGCTGCATATCCCTGTCTATGTTACATAATGCAAATCAAACATGGTCTCAGTTTTACTCCAGATGCTCATCTTAGTGATTACACCCAACCCCAAATTTATCTTCCTCTGCTGCTGAGCCACCATTTAAGGGGTGGGTATGGATAGGTCTTTAAATGTACATAAAAGCAGATGTATTGATTGGGTGAGTTCCCACAGGGGACCATACTTTAATTTTGTATGCTATTTTAGGGGCCATTCAGAATGAGGAAAGCCAAGTGTTAGTTGGTCCACGGCCTAAATATGGCAGACCTACATGAAAGGAGGCATGTGAGAAGCAGAGAGACCATTACAGGATAAGCGGTCTTCCTTTCATGTAGGTCCACCATATTTAGGCAGTGGACCAGCTAGCAATCAGCTCTTCTCATTCTGAATGGCCCCTTAGAGGCCCTGATCTCAGAGGGTATTGTATGGTAAGTTATCAAGGATATAACTATCTCTAGTTGGTCATTCTGTGATGATGAGTGGTCAGTGAGTTGACCATTAAGAAGCAAATTATGAGAAGAATATTCAATCAAGACAGTGGTGTTCAGTCCTCCTGGGACTGGTCACTTGGGTTAGTCCTGCTGTCCCTTCTGCTGGTCAAAAAGCATTTTTATGCCTCTTCCATCCTTCCACACAACACACATTACATTACATATTTACATATTTATGACAGCATGAACACAAGATATTAAAACAATTTGGCCTACCCAGGGTGCTTTTATTCAATGCAAATCCCTTATAAATAATTACTTTAAAACTACAGTACAGCAATTGCTCCATTATGCAAACCAAAATAAGCAATTAACACATTATAATTAACAATCAAGTTATGAGATGCAATGCTGATTGTTGCATATTTGAACAAATAATGTAAACAATATAAAATTGCAATAAGTATATTTTTCTTCTACAGCCTTTCAAAACATATAACCAACTATATTTCTGTTCCAATTGCAAATTGCAAAGACCCAGCTTATCATTTCAGAAATATAGATCACAAGCCCATATAAATGTTCTAATTGTAGGTGACGGCACCCTACCTTGCATATTTTATAAGCATCTATTCAAAATAGTTGTTTGGGCATCAGAACTAATTTAGAAAAGATAAAATTGACAAAATTATTTCAACTTAACAGAGGATTTGAAATCCTACCTTAATTTTGCGATGGGGGACCAGTGAACTCTAGTCAACATACTATCATTCTATTTCTTTGCGTGGACAATACTTAATATAATGACAACCCGGCACAGCTAGCACACTACATCTACAAATGTACCTAGGGTATTAAGTCTTTTCAAAAGTTAAATGCACGTTTTGAAAATTAAACAATAATTATGTAATTAGAATAGAAAAAAGTAAAAAAGTAAAATTCATATGTTCGTAGGAGTTCATGCTTGTTCATGATGCCAGAAAGCAACTCCATACACAAATTGAGTTTTATTTGTTAATTAATACTGTGCACATGGGTATAAAAATATAGAAAAAATTACTGAGATTTACCAGCCAATATTTTGGATGCTAACAGGAAAATGAGGGCTGTGATAAGTATTACCACCTATCACTCCTCAGGTGTGCTGGTTCAGTCAGGTGTCCTCTTCCTTTGCCCACCCCCCACCTCCCCTCCCTGAAGAGTGAAATGCAGAAGCTGGGTTACAAAGCTCAGTTCTATCATTTCTATTGAGTTCCCTTCCATGTGCGCTGTAGTTTCAAGAACTTCAATGTGAGAGTCACAGGATTACTTGTCCAATATATTGTGTTTTCAGTTATAAACTGTTAGCAGACAAAATACTGGCTAGTAAATTATAGTTAACTTTTTTTCTGTAGCTTTTGACAAATGAAACTATTTTTGTAGTTTTAACACATAACTTATGAACTATTCCAACAAGCTGCTTTATGTTTGGTATTGGAGCATAAAGTTTGCTACATATACATATGTATATCCCCAGTACACACACACACACACACACACACACACACATAGTATAGTGAACATATATGATCTTCATATCAAAACTGATAATTTAAGCGATCCTCTTCTTTGCAAGTTAGCATCAATGTCCTCTAATTTACTTTCTATTTAACTGACAAGAAGCTTTTTTTAGTACACATTTACACCATTGGGAACACGGACTTGTCCTTCACCCACACATACAATACACTTGTGTATTGAAGCAAGGGAATTTCTTAGGGGTTACAAATGACCTACTCCACACCTCTTGTCCATTGGGGATACACATATGCCTAACCATATCATACAGCCACTATATCATTTGTCTACAGAATGACTATACCCTTCAACAGCTTACTACCAGTCTCAAGCATTTCATTGAAGTTTCCTCAAGGCGTGGGAGTAAGGATGTAACAAAAAAACTTACAGCTGTGGTAAAACAAATGAAGAAAAATTGTATTGGGTTCTCTTATGTACGCTTGCGAAAAATGACCATTAAAAGTTAAATGAAGAAAATATCTAAGTGTAGATGAAACATGCATCATTAAGTCACTAATCTCTAATTTCTGAAGGTTCTGACAACTGCAAAGTACCATTCATTTTTTCATGTGTAGTCACGAGTGAATCATGAGCCATTCCCCTAGTATGAGCACTTGTTGCGGTAAGATTTTTTTTGTGTATAAGCATGTGCATGTGCAATTAATTTGTGCAAGTATGCAATTTTCACATATATGTACCCTTATAGGGATTTCTACAATATTTATTCTTAACCCTAACAAAAATAATATATCACACAGTTAAGTACTACTACATGTGTCAATCATTTGGATTGCTATTTTGATTACCTGGTAAATTTGATAAAGTGAATTAGCAAAGTCTTACTTGAGATTGACCAAAATATATTGGTCATAACTGAGACAACTGAATCTAATGTACTAATTGGGATGCAGGACTTTAAAATTCTATATTGTCATATTCATTGTTATTTCTGTTTAAACACCTGTTTTTTCTAAGGGCGCATTCTGATTCATACATTGTAATATATCTGGGTCAGTCCAAATCTGCAGGGGATTCTTGATAAAGTGCAATCAGTGGAATCAGCTTAATCAACACACAATAGTGAATTACCCCCTAGCTGCTCGAAGAGACAATTAAGCTGATTCCACTGATTGCACTTTGGCAAGAATCTCCTTAGAGTTGGACTGCCCCAGCTAGTAAGATGAGTGAATCTGAAGCAATCTTAGATCAGGTAGTCTATCTGGTTTCAGTGGTCAGTGAAAGCAAACCTGACATCAGTATAATTGTTGCTGATGTTGCATGCAAGTATCATAGAGGTGATTTCATGGCCAAATTTAATTTCAGAAAATCCCTATTTTTAGTTCAAGTTATATGTAATTAAATTATATTTAGATTTCCTAAAATTATATTAAGTGAATATTTAAGTAAATTACATTAAACTTCTACACAAATCAAGTCAGATGTCAGTGTATAATAAATGTATTTAGATGTCCAAGTTAAAATTACATTAAAGTTCTGCAGGATGTTTTCAGGACTGAATAACTTCATTTATGGCTTCATCTTCTATTTAAAGTTTAAATCAGCCTTGGTCTAATTGTGTTAAAGGTCTCCTGCAGTATGTCTTAATTCTGTTAACTGGCTTCAATATCTCTGACTTGTTAAGGAATCACTGTAATGTAATTGTCCTTATGTATTAGTATATAAGGAGAAGAATTTGCAATATACTGTCATTAGAGTCTTGTGTCTTCACATGAAGTAGTCAGAAGTAGTGTAGAGTAGAACCTATAGTCAGCAGATAGAAGTGGACCAGGGACACCAATACCTGGATTGTACAGAATAAAGGTGGAGATCACACAGATTATAGTGAGTCTCTAGTAACATAACAACGGCTTGGTGTTACAAGTCTGCAAAGACCATGGTGAACTTGAGGCTTAATTTTATCTGGCTTTCCTGAATCTTGAACTACTTTGGTACTGAGGGCTTTAATACAGTATAAAGTCACTTTTGAGTAACATGATCAGAGACACTGTTCACAAACTAAACAATAAGGTCATTAATGAGGTCAATAATTGCACTGTAGTTGCAACTTTGAGACAATGCTCCTACAAAATCAGACTCTGGATTGCTCAGCAATGATATCTAAAAGATGTTTTAATTCTGTAGTAAGTAGCAAAAATGGTTATAATCAATGTACTTATTTTATACCATGCAAAACCATGTTTATACTCATATCATAGCGTCTGTTATGTTGTGATAATACCAAATAAAGATCATTGTCATTTTTCATAACATACTTGTCATGTGCAACAAAAATACCCTCCCCCCTTTTTATTTAACCTTATCAATTAACTGAACGATAGACATGGACAATAGTGCCACTAAAAAGTCACCACCAGAAGATTCACTTTCTATCACTTATCATTATGATCATTATGATGTTAATAATAATAATAATAATAATAATCAAGAATCTAACAGTAAACGCTCATCTGCAAGCTTAGTTTTGTGAGCTCCTGAGACTGGTTATTTTGAATTTTGAATTCAGATAGTCAGAGAAAAAATAAAGGCACAATTTTCCATTCACTGATGCAATCACATACAAATGATTATATATGTCAAGGTAACAGGTTGAACGTGTTTGTTCATACATATGGTATTAATCTGTATAAGCAGACAACATACCACCAGGAAATTGGAATAGCAAAATACAAAACATCAATCAAAATGCATAATACTGTACTATTTTTGTGTTAGAAGTCATGTATTTTGTAGGAGAAATTAGTCATACACTGATATTTGTGATTGCTCAGCTTAGCTTAAAGTTGCTGTTACACATACAATATTCATTTGATAAGACATGCCATCATCCCATTTCATGCACATATATTAATTTTTGAACAAGTTCAGATAAAGAATGTAATGAAAGAAAGTTGTGACATTCTTATGTCACTAATGTGGTGACAGTAGTTTTCATGTAAGCAACTGTTACCATCATGTATTATTCACACCATCCTTTCCTGTTAAGTTTTTTTATGAAGTAATTGTCAGCTGCATTCATGCTGCTCAACTGTGCCTGCTGTTAAACCCCAGTAATCTTGTGCTTTAACACTTTAATCAATCACAGGCATTAGTGATCTAAGACTGCATTCCCACAGATTTGAGATCAATCTATCCCCGTGGGGAGTCTCACTAGATTACTGTCAGCTTAGCCGGCTTTAATGTCTGTCCTGCCTATTAAAAGCTGTAAGGGGGTAATTAACTTTTGTGCGTGCTCGGCTGACAGCAATTTAGCATGAACCCCCAGGGAGTTGGGTCGATCCAGATGAATCGATCTAAATCTGTGGGAATGCAGTCTAAGAGCTACTGTAGTATGTCCTTGGTAGGATATGGTCTCCAAGATTCCTGGCTGATACTTGTTTTAAATTTTCTGAATACAAATCTGTAATTGTGCCATTTGGCTAGATGCAACCCTTCCAAATTCACCTTGCAAAACTGTTCACATTTAAAAGATAATTTTAACCAATTTAGAGTTAAAATAGTCTGGCATAGTGATAACTAGAGAGGAGACACCCTCTACCTCCAAAGATCCAAATCCACATATAAACCCTTTATTGAATAATGTTGACCATTTATGAGACCAATGGGCAACAGTGAGGTCACCCAGGTCCCTTAAAATGAGTGGATATTGTATTTCTGGTTTTATTAAGAACTGATGTGAACCTAAGATCTGTTTATTAGATCTTAGTGTGAACACAGCCTAATTCTCATCTCTATAAATAAAGTATCTGTAGCTGGAGGCTTGTGAGTTGGTTTATATTTGTATATCAGATTATCAATGAAGATCGAATTTTAAAGTGCAAACTTCCTGACAGTCTAGTGACACTTACTGGGAGTGTTAAAACTGTGCTTGAGAAAGTAGGGAGTCAGTGTACAAATCAATTTTCTTATAAATCCCAGCTACAACATAACATGTACATTAGGCCACACTTTTTTATTTTTATGGATGACATCCTCTGGGGACCCCAAAATCAGTGCGAGCGGGCGAAAAAAAAAA